GTATTTCAGTATTTGTCAAAACCGGAAGCGCCCAAAAAACGGAAGTGAATAATAAATTTACTTCGCGAAAAAAAATTCTGGTTATTTTTGCCGATGGGAATAGTAAATACGGACGTGCAATAACGTATTCTTTTTATTCAATATTTGTATTCTTGCAAAATAAAGCCTTGGCCACGTTGCAAAGACGGAAAACCTCTTGAACGTATCAACGTAGCCATAATAAATTAAAACCTTATCTATTTTCCGCATTTCAATCCTCTATTATTTGCCCGTTTCCCTTATGAGTTTTCAAGATTTTTTACCTGATTTATTAACGCCAGTTTTTCATGGATTTACCTGAAATTTTCAAATCGTCTTAGTTGGGGGGTGTCACACCCCCCCACACACACCCCCGGTCGCTACGTCCCTGGTTGCCTTCGCGTGGAAAATATAGCTTTTATCTTTATTTTTAAATGGAAAAGCAATTACCTTAAACAAGACTAACAAAAATTACATAGTTAGATGGAATTTTCAAGCTGTTGGCGTTGCATAATGTGATATAACAAAGCCATGAAAACTTTACCAGTGGAATGTTCGCTATAAACGCGTAAGTTAAAACTACAATTGTCTCGAACATTTTTATGTAAATTATTAATAAGTAATAGCATGGTTTCGCGTGAAATTTGGATAAACATGCACTCGTGAGTTTTTCATAGACCTCAAATAGCACTCGTCCTTCGGACTCGTGCTATTTTGAGGTCTTTGAAAAACTCACTCGTGCATGTTATATCCAAATTGCACTCGAAACCATGCTGTTACCTATACTAAGCACTACGACGTTGTATCATTAAAAAAACGCATTTTATCCCCATCCGTTCTATATTTTATCCCCATATCCGTTCCGTGGATCCGCTCCATCCGCTTCCGCATTTTAACCTAATTGTGACATGTTTCACAATAACAAGTCTAGACGATTGACCTTCGACTTTATATTCCCAATGGCAATGTCACATTGCGTTTCATGAGTCATTTTCAGCTTTTCGCATGTATTCAATAATGTCACTTTAGATTTCAATAGTTTCACAGTTATAGCAGTGTTTATAGCAGTTTTAACAAGCTTTGATACGGCTCTGTGTACAGATTGATTCTCGTAAGATCTGGTAGAGTTATCGTTGCACTGAACACGAGTTTGCACTGTTGACGTTGTGCTATACAGTAAACAAAGTAAGTCCGTGACGGTACGCGTTGGCTACCTCCTTGCTTTTTTCTTCTATTGCTTAAAGCTTGTTGGCAAGCCAAGCGATTGGTACCCTGGTTCCTCTCCCCTTCGCAATAAAAATAATAAAAATAAACCTCTGGAACCAGGGTAAGCGATTGGCGATAACACGTTGGCTATAACTCCTCGTCTTTCTTGTTTAAATAAAGAGTGCAGACTCAACTGATTTTTTTTTTGTCTCGATCACAACTCACAAGTTATTTTCTTCGTGAACGACATACAAACACCCGCTTCTGTTTAATAGTTGTTTACGCTTTGTCCGATGCAATTTTTCGCTCTTTGTACTGAATGTAGCCATCTATTCTGTGGTGTAGCACCTTATACAGCCAATGTGGCCAATGTATAATGAATACACGGCCTAAACAATATATCTTCTGGCACTTAATTGGGCGCCGGTAATGCATAACGTCATCAACATATATATTGCGTAGAATCTGGAAGATTTTCTCAATATTCATGTCTGAAATGTTTATATATTTGAAAACAACACTCTCTCGTTCTTTCCTACCTCTGTATAATGGGTATACCGTGAAAATAATATCGGCACTCAATTGAATGCCTAGAATATCAAAGATTTTCGACTCAATATTTTACGTTTGAAATGTTTAATATATACACTTGAAAAAAGCACTGTTCTAGCTCCTTGCTAGCTCTGTAAAATGAATATAACGTCTAAATAATATGCCGATTACTTAATTGAATGCATAGCATCAATTTATATATTGCGTAGATTCTCGAAGATTTTCTTCAATATTCACGTCTGAAATGTTTATACATTTACATTTCAAAACAACACTGTCTCGCTCCTTCCTAGCATCGTCAAGACATCACGATAGACGTCTTGATAGCGCATGCGCATTTGCGCTGCTAAAGATAAAATCGGGTGTTCCGGGGTAAAGATCCTTTACACGACATGAGAAGCGCATGTTATAAAATTTACAATAACGACAACAATTCCTCGAATTTTTTGTAAACTTGGCAAAAGACCTAAAGAATATTGAAATAAGACAACTGAAATTGCCCAAATAACCTTCAAAGCACTGACTAAGTACGATAAATCCCTACGAACAAATATCGTATACACCCCCCGGAAAGGTTACTGTATGACTGAATGAATGACTGACTGACTGACTCGTGTGAATTTTCCCCCAGTCATCACAATACTCCAGTACATGAATTGCTGCTTATAGTGCTTACCTTTTGACTGAAATGGTATGTCGTACTTAACAAAATCATCCACAGTGGCTTTCATAATAACATTGAGTATAATGTACGTCATGGATGACTTCAGAAACACATCAATACCTACATATCAAAGCAGAGCGAATCAAATCAAATTCAAACAAATGAAGTAAACTAGTCAGGCAACTGTCACTGGAATTTATTTTCAAAATCCTAACTATGGAAATAGTATGGATTTTAGTTGGAAATGGTATGGAAATCCAATTTTCATACTAATTTATGGATATAGTATGCAAATAGTATGGAAATAGTATGGATATACTATGGATTTAGTGAATGGACCATTCCCCCAATTAACCAAAATTTTGATCTCAACAAGTCTAGACAAAATTTCATCACAGCTTGAAAGAGCATCACAAAATTAGTAATATTCCAAAGTTTCGTTGCGAAATGTTGTAAAATGCGGATAATATAGCCTTGCGAAATTTGCAATTTTCAGTCATTTTAGATTACAAACGGGAAATGGTTACCACTTTTCCAAAATTTTGATCGTAACTAGCCTAAACAAAAATTTCATCACAGCTTGAAAGAGCATCACAAAATCAGTAATATTCCAAAGTTTCGTTGCAAAATGTTGTAAAATGTGGATAATATAGCCTGGCGAAGTTTGTAATTTTCAGTCATTTTGTATTACGCACAGAAGTGGTAACCATTTCCCGTTTGTAATCTAAAATAACTGAAAATTGCAAACTTCGCAAGGCTATATTATCCGCACTTTACAACATTTTGCAACGAAAGTTTGGAATATTACTAATTTTGTGATGCTCTTTCAAGCTGTGATGAAATTTTTGTCTAGACTTGTTGAGTTCAAAATGTTGCTTAATTGGGGGAATGGTCCATTGCAAATAATTTTTCCAGTGTATATAAGCAATAAATTAATCATATATGTAAATTGGTACATATATGACCAATTCCAATTCATAAATTTTGTTTGCCAAATTATATACAAAGCGAATTTAAATTTGAAAAATTTCAGAAACAGTTGTCAAAGAAAATTTGTCGAAAAACGAGCTTGTGTAATACTGTAATCCCTGCCCAACAAATGAAATCAATATAATATGTCCCAAAACAACACTTAAGAACCCCGTGATCTCAAAGGGCGATGGGAAACAAAAACATTTGAGATAGCGGGGGAGATTACCGAACCGGTGTTATTGCGTTTCCAAACTACGCTGTTTATATTTATATCTCAAAGTTAACGTAAATACCATAAATATATATAATGCGTCAGAAATGTTTTTCGTATCAAATATTCCCATGATATCAAACAGAACACCATTGAAAGGTTGCATTAGCGACTGATAGCTGAAAGCAAACAGTTGAAATGGTACGAGCTTTTCAACCTCGTACCCAGGCTTTTTCCACTACGCTCCTCGCTGGAGGGACGACCCTGGTCCAGGCTGTGGTCACGTGTCTCCCAGACCGCAGATGCAATCCACAAAAAATACATATACATATACAAAGACATCTCACCCACTGATTTTGCAACAGAAACTGTTGCTATTCATTAAAATTAGAAGATGTATTTGTTAAATAAATTACACCCGCTTTGAACTTTATCGAATTGATATCGGCATCTTGATCGGCAACTAAATCGGTAATCCAAACGTAGCCCCCCACCCTTTTGTAAAAATTTTGTTATCTCCCAAAATCTGGGAGACACGTGACCAGCCTGGACCAGGGTCTTTCCTTCAGCGAGGAGCGTAGTGGAACGAGCCTGGGTACAAGGTTTCGGGGGTTTTACATTTATTTAGAACATAAAAATATACATAAGGATTTCATGATTCGCTTTGTATCGACTCAATCGACACATGAAAGTCAAACCCATGCAGGTCGAATAGAAAGAATACATGCGTCATAATTTGTCAGATTAATCACAATACTTTTAAGTGCACTGTACCTACGACGAGTCCATAAGCTCCAACGAACGAACTCACCAATATGGCGAACTATGTAAAGAAAATAAAAATCTTATTAGTGATATTTGTTTTGTTAATTGGATACATGACGCTTTCTTCTATGAACTGTAAAGCATTTACCGCGCCGCCAAGAATGCGAGAATTGCAGTTTTGGAAAATGTTAAATGCATCCTAATGACCATCTAAGTGACAATCAAACAACACACTTTTTGCCACAGCCTCGCACAATAACAAGAGTTTCATGTTTGTTGAGGCAGAAATATGGAACTTCATCCCAGACCAAATTAGAGGAATCTCCATTCTTCTCAATCTTTATTTGAACAAAAAATTGCTCCTCATGTTGCTAATTAAAGTGCTTATGTCACAAAAACTTTTTTTGATAATTGGTAGAGAACAAAAAGTTAGTTAATAGGTTCTTTAACATTTTTCCGTTCTCTCTTTTCATTCGCGAGATACGAGGCTCTCAACAGCGATTTTCGTAAAATTGTCGCGTATGAACAAGAGTCTGGGACGAGCGTGGTGTGACGTAGCTTAAGGGACTTAATTTCGACGCGCATTATACATTTTATATATTTTCCAGCATGTCACGCAGTAGCTAGGATTCGGAAAGCACTCATAGTTCTCAATGTGAGTCAGAATACAATTATATTCCTGGATATATTATAGAGGATGAATCAAATTATACTAGTCACGAAATTGGAACTCTAAAAGCAGTTGATAGCGAAATTCCGAGTAGTAAATTTTATATGTCAACTACTATGATAATAATATACATAAAGATGTTACTCGGCTGTAATTGGTTGATTTTAGTGCAGTTAGTTCAAAACAAACTGATGATTGGTGGATCAACAATGGGACTTATAAAAGTCAATTAATCAGCTTAAAGCCAGTCTTCACGTTATGGCAAAAGATTGTTTAAAAATAAAACAAACATGGAGGTCGTGCTACATAAAGTACCCGGGGATGCCATGGGGGCAGCTTCCCCCATTGCCCAAGTATTGTGGCGGAAACACGGTGCCAATAATAAGTCTTACCATTTTTAAAAAGAGAAGAAAAAGGCATGGAACTGTAATTGACATACAAAAGAAAACTGTCCAGTAGTTAACATCATTCTTCCAGTAATGTAAATTTCCTAATAAGAAACATCAACATAAAATTATAGAAATACAGACTTACTCTTGGCCAAACGGACGGCAGCATTGACACCTCTAATCTCTACTAGACTTCTCACTGCAGACACTATTTATCCCCGAGCCGACGACGCTTCGCGCCGTACGAGGGTACTAATTCCCCCCGGCTATTTACACCCGGGGAAACGAAAGCATTAGCGAAGTCTAAAGTTCATCAATGATCGCGGGCGCTCACCAACGGTGTTGAGTGGGTGGTCATCACTGATCTCAAAATATGGCTGTTTGTCAGGAGTGAAGAAGTTTCATATAACAAATTGTACAACTTCTTTGCAATTTTTAAACGTAAACATTGATAAGAATTGATATTGTATGATAAATCCTAAAGTATGGGGCAAGTTTGTTTCAATTGTTTGTGTATGACTTTGTATTTAATAATATAGACTTTGTTCTTGATGTTCAAGTCTTTCCTATGCATTGTTTGTGAAAGTTTCTTAGTTAAATTAACTTTTGTAGAAGTTCATGATAAAAAGGAAAGCAAATTATTTTCATTAGCGCTCTGTACGAATTAAATTTGTTTCATTTCAAAGTGCGAGTAAGAAGTTGAAGCTCGAGTTGAGAAGTTTATAAATATCGGCAAAAAGCAGTTAATTTCAATTCACATTTAAAAACGTTTTACGTAGAGTTTCGTTTTGAATTTTACAATAAAATAAAGCCCATAGAAACCAAAATATTATACCTACTCAAAATATTTTAGAAATTGATAGTTCGTATTTAAAAGTGTTCAAATTTCATCTATTTCCCGGTTTGTACAAAAAATTAAAAAAACAATTATCGATTTATCGTGTTGCCATGACTAACATGATGTATTGACGTGGGCAACGCGAGCCTGCGTTCAGTGTTGGCGTAATTACGAATACTTCATGTTGAAACAATGTTTGGAAAATACAGGTTAGGGGTTGTTGCATGCATGTATTTCTAGTTTTAGCTATAATATAGTCATGAGTGAATGCCCAAATCTTTGGTTATATACCAGGAGGGCTTAGGTCTCCCCCAATGCATGTAAGGATGCGCGCAATCTCTCAGCGGCCCTGCACATGCATGATCTGATATAGTTGGTAATATCCACTCATTGTTTACTAAATAACGTATTCCTTGTGGTTGTATAACTCAACACAAGGCGATATCGTATCCGGATTCCGGTCGGATTTTTCACGCTCATATTTTGAATTGCCAGTATCGTCTCACAAAATTTTTCTTCAATTTAAAATTTTTCACTACATAGAAATGATAACTATGTGATAATTTAAACTACTATTTTTGAATAATAACGAAATATAATTGAAAAGCGACGTCATATACGTTAACAACATGTAGTTTGGTATTTAAAATTCCTGTTTATGACCTCTGCATGCCATAGTAGACAATCGAAAAATGAGGATTGTGAAGAAATTTTAAATGGAATGGCAGCAAGATTTTAAATTTTAAATGGAATGGCTATGGGAGATTTTGAATGACTGATCATTGTATCGTATATACAAAGCGATGTCCGAAACGTTGAATTCATATTTGAATCAGGGAAAAGGCGACGATCGTGGAGTAACTAGTACATCCACAATCCATAGACATTTAGGGAGTTGGAATGTAATTTCGTCAGCCTGGTCCGCCTTTTAAGTTAAGTAAATCAAACGTATAAAATTGTAATGTTGTATTTAAATCGTAATTATAAAACCATGCTCGTACCCAGGGTCTTTTTGGGAGACTGTGGCACCAGAGCACAAGAGAAAATAGCCTGGGTACGAGGTTGTTACAAAACTTCCTCATTTTATATACTGTAATTTATTTACTAGCATGCATATTTGTCATGTACTCAGAACTATTATGGAAAAGAAGTTTGTTATATCGCAGCTTTAGATGTAAAGGCCGTTTCTCTGTCGGCGCTGGACGAACGACCTTATACAAATCTCGTTTGTAATTAGTTGCGCGTGCACGTCTAGAAAGTTGGTGTAGTTGAACTTTTATGTAACTTTAAAAAAACACAACTTACCAAATGGAGTAAAAAATATCAAAGCACTAAAGAGAAAACCAAAGGGTAAACCACAGATGTAAAGCACAAGATGTCTATACCCTGTCCACCACCATAGTAAGTATACAAGTAATCCGCCTGCAGTACCTATACACACACTACCAATCATGCGCACTGAAGAGAAAAAGAAATATTCTATTTTCACGCTGTCACTTGTAAGTTGTAAATAACGATAATTACATTAAAAACTGTGTTAAACTATACTACCTCGTACCCAGGCAACATGGCCTGCGCGCCCGTGGTGCAGTGATAAAGCACACCAGAGTACCAGGGTACAGGGTTAAAATACGCATACGTTGCATAATTCATATATAGGTAACATATATACATAATACATCCAGGAAAATGTACGTATTTTTAACAGGCACAATTATTTATAACGGGAGGTGGTCGGTCTTTGGTCATGTATATGATCAAACTGTTGAGATTGTTAACGGCGAGATCTGACGAAGAGCCATTAAAACGAGAAAAAGGAACACATTAAAAACTTGACCATAGCCAGTCATGCTTGGTCCCATGACCACCATGATTTTGAAAGAAAAAAAAAATTGACAAGGCACATGCAGAGCAACATTACAATCCTGGCTTAAGGCATGCAATCACCTTAAATGAATTCTGACAAAAATTCTGAAATACTTATCAGTTTTTACGGAACTATTAATCTAATTGTATACAATTATTATACTTTTACAATAATTATTACAATTATTAACTTCATTCATTATTGCTTTACTTGTCGAAGATTTCAGACTAGCAGTCGAAAGCTTGAATCAAATAAACGTTTACGCTCAGATAACATCTCAAAATTGCTATTAACTGGATTAATCACACTTACCATCATGAGTACATTCTGTTTCACTGGTCAGCAGTACAAATCCAAAGAATGAAAACAACGTGACACCGCTGCCAATAATATCTAAATAAACATTTTGTTTGAAGTATCAGAAACGGACGACGTTAGAAACATCTACACGATATGATAAACGTTTTGGTTTGTGGAAAACTACGTTCACACCACATCGGAGAGAAATAATGCCGGCAGAAGTCGTCGGGAAGTTAGTATACGAAGGGCCTTCGCTCGAAACATCGAAGTTTTGCCTGAAGTATTTTTCATCCCTGTATCAACCGAAGTGGGGGCTTCGGTGGCGCAGTCCTCAGAGCTCTCTTTCACCTCTGAGATCGTGGGTTCGATTCTCGCTATACGGACCACTGATCTGAAATAAGACTGGATAACGCATTTATGGTATACAAAAGTGAAGTCGGAAGTTACCGGCCGCCACCCGATTCTGGAGCCCCACTTTTGTATAGATTTGTATTACAGACGGTAGTTTTTCACGTTTTTTGCCTTGGCTACGTGGTCTGTTACTGGACGAATATTCTCAGGAAATTTGAAGAAATGAAGCAGCTACATTGTGAACGAAAGCGTACGTACAGAGGTTAGTTTTAAAATACCTTGAGGCTACTTTTGTAATTATATGAATTAAAATAGCATTATATTGAGTCATTGTTTATAATTTGGATGAAAAATATTTGAATAAAGGAATGCTCTTGACAAAATTCATTTAAAACTGTTCTTTAATTCGTATAATTATAAAAGTAAGATAAGATAAGATAAGATAAGATGATGTTTAATAGCACAATTTCGCACATAAAGTGAAGTACAAAGTGCTTACATTAAAATACTATAATAATATAAGATTATTTACAATGGTTGTTAGGACAAAGTTAAAATCAAGTCTCGCCAGTCACTGTTTACTATTAGCAATATTAATTGTATTTGGGAAAAAGCTATTTTTAAACCGATCAGTTCGACATTTATAAGTTGATAAATTATTTAATGATCTAATAAAATAATTATGCTCGTTCGATCTAGTCTGGGTCACGTGTTGTGTAAGCGTACCACTTCTGGTTATCTTCGTGAGTGTCTTCAAACATAGCTCTTCACGTCTAGCTAGTCTCCAATTTGGTGATACCAGCCGGCAGCAACGCATCTTTATAAGTTTGTTCAGGGTATACAATACACAAGGCTCGCTTTTGGATTTTTTCAAGTTTGTCAGATAAATAGCATGAGATAGAGTTGTGCCAAACTTCACAAGAGTATTCAAGGATTGAGCGTATTAACGCAATATACACAGTGAGAAGGTCTGCAGGAGGAATACCACTTCGGCGCAACACCCGGAGGATATGTAATCGTTTGGATGCCTTCGAGACTATTTCATGGATATGTTCATCCCATTTCAGGTTGTTTTGGATCGTAAGTCCCAGTAGCCTCAAGGAATTTTAAAACTAACCTCAGTACGCTTTTGTCCACAATGTAGCTGCTTCAGTTTCTTCAAATTTCCTGAGAATATTCGTCCAGTAACAGTAATTCTTGTGTATTTTGAGTTGATTTGGTATGAAAGTAGCAAAATGAGCTCGTGTTGATAAACAAAGTCTGAGCCTGAGGCTCTCCACTCCGTCAAAATTGTAAATCCCGGTTCGTGACGTTATAAAGCCATAATCATCCAAATTTTCTGCTCAAAGTTCTTCTTGTATGCTTCTATCTTTGTGATTGTAAAACTGGCCCGGTCAGAAACGTAGCCAAGGCAAAAAACGCGAAAAACTACCATCTGTAATACAAATCTATACAAAGTGGGTTCCCAAAATTGGGTGGCGGCCGGTGACTTCCGGCTTCACTTTTGTATACTATACAGGGTGTATAAAAAAAACTGAACAGATTTGAAATTGCTCTCAATTTCGCAAAACACCTATTTGTATCTGTTTTTTATATATATAGCTTCTTTGGGTACTTATATAATGTAAAATAATGAAAAAAATTTCTCGAACTCAAATTTTGTGAACCAGGGGGGTGTATCTTTTCCAACAAAATAAAAATGGCTCGTGCACAAAATTTAAAAGCTGTAATAATATTTTGAGTTGATAGATTGAAAATTTGTCGGGTTTTTAATTACTGTACAAAATTTCAGACAATTTGGTTTAGTTTAAGCCCCCTAACTATTCACGCAAAGTTACAATTTTCCCGAAAAATCAGCTATTTGCATGCTTAATTAATTCATTTGCCTAATTTGCATATGTCAGCAATATGCAAATTAGGTAAAGGCATTAATTAAGCATTCAAAAGGCTGACTTTTTAGAACAAAATGAATAGTTAAAGGTAACTATTCATTTTGTTCTAAAAAGTCAGCCTTTTGAATGCTTAATTAATGCCTTTACCTAATTTGCATATTGCTGACATATGCAATTTAGGCAAATGAATTAATTAAGCATGCAAATAGCTGATTTTTCGGGAAAATTGTAACTTTGCGTGAATAGTTAGGGGGCTTAAACTAAACCAAATTGTCTGAAATTTTGTACAGTAATTAAAATCCTGACAAATTTTCCATCTGTTAACTCAAAATATGATTGCAGCTTTTAAATTTTGTGTGCGAGCCATTTTAAGTTTGTTGGAAAAGACACCCCCCCCTGGTTCACAAAATTTCAGTTCGAGAAATTTTTTTCATTATTTTACATTATAAGTACCCAAAGAAGCTATATATATAAAAAAAAACGGATACAAATAGCTGTTTTGCGAAATTGAGAGCAATTTTAAATCTGTTCAGTTTTTTTTGATACACCCTGTAGATGCGTTATCCAGTCTTATTTCAGATCAGTGATACCACAGAGTAGATAAGACATACAGAGACGTAACTGACCGTTGGAAACACTGCGGAAGATTACGTTATCATGTACCCACTTTTTTTCAGGCGACCGGGCGAAAAATGATCAACTGCGCGTGCTCAGCAAGTTTAAAGTGAGTCTTCATCAGGTTGTCATCCAATCAGATGCATGCATCTAGTAACTTGCCGAGCATGCGCACAAAAAAAGTGGGTACACTAGTTACGTCTCTGTATGTCTCTACTCTGTGGTGATACGGACTCGTGTGAAAAGAGTCAGTCAACCCTCTGCTGAAAGTCGTGGGTTTGCTTCGGGTGCTCCGGTTTCCTCACACAGTGAAAGTTGATGGGATGGGTTAGGATAAACACAGTTGAGAAAGTAATCACAATTGTTGTAAAGATAAATAGTCTAGGCTATAAGTAAGTAATATCAGTAAAGCATAATACTTAATGTAATTGATCATGGTCACTCAAGAAAAGCCCCAATGGGGAGTGAGCTGAATAATAATGCTTTTTTAGCTGAATAAAAATGTCTTTTTTTGGAAGGATTTGAATGTATTTGGCGTTAAAAACGGCGAATTATTTCAAACGAAACGAGAACAACAACAAAACAAGTTTTTTCAGTTTTCATTCGACGGCTTCAAAAAGACAAAAACAACTGTCCAAAAAGAAAGCTGCGGCTTTGTACAAGCCTAATATTTTACGTCCAAACGGTCCAATTACTTCAAAAATGTTCAAGTAAGTTGTCATAATTTGTTTTCGTTAAATAGTTTTTGAAATACATTTAGAAGCTAGAGCTTTTGTTAAAAGCATTTTTGCTCAACAAATTTAAAAATAAATACCTCAAACTGCTCGCAAGTTTGCTGTTTTACTCTTGCAGTTTTATAGCGTTATTTTATTAACGTTCCGCGGGGCCCGTGGCATATTATTGGCGCGGGGCCTCTTGACCCCCCTCCCCGCAAAACCGCCCAAAGGCATTTTAGACGCTAAATTCATGACCAGTATTAAGATTAAAAAATATCCTTTTTTATTTTTTTATTTGTGCATGCCTAGTGATATTTTCTGATTGGCTGCAGCAGCGGGCAGCTTTTTACAATATCTTGACCGTGGTCCAAAAGTGTTATTTTTTAGCGACAAACCGAGGAGTGAAGACAATTTTCAAACTCAAAACACCACCCAAAAAGTTTAAAAATCCACCCTATCTTTTCTAAAGACAGTAAAATACAGTGAATTTCTTCAGTGGACTTAGTGCCAAGCCCGAATGTAGTTTTCTCCGACTAAACCGGGAAAAACCCCCAAATATAAACATCGAAAAACACTGGCCAGTGCTACATGTTTTGATTCAAATGTTCCACATATAATCAGCCATTCTTCGAAAATATACGTATAAATATAAATAGTACAACGTACTGACTTGTCTTTAAACATAAAAATTAAAAAAATACCTTAAATGACAGTTTAAGGACGATTCCTGGGCTTATTTCGGTCAAAATTGTTTTTATAAATGTTGTAATGCAATGAACAAATTGTTTTTTGGCAACTAAAATTTGTATTTTTCTGTCAAAAAGCATTTTTCAACCATGTCCATGCTGTAAAATGAATCGGAAAATAAATATTTTTACTTTGTTTACCTTCTGTTTTCTTGTTGCATGAGTAGAAAAGCATTCTATTGCAATGAAACTGAAAGCTTTTTAACCAGCTTTTATCGCGTCGTTTTAGCAGTTTGTCAGCTAATGACAGTCATCCTCGGCCTTCAGCCTCGGGCCGCTTCTGAGACCTCGGGAAAATATTTTTTCAGTACGGACCTCGCAGCCGGTAAATAACATATATGTATTTCATGCATGCGAAAAGTTTTTTGTGTATTTACAAAAACAAATTTGAAATTTAACCCAGTTTATACCATTAACAGTATTATTATTTACACGGGGAAATAGCTAACCATGATAGCGTCCATATAAACTTCTGCCGTCTTCCATAAAATTCAGCAATCTTTTAGTATTGAACAGTTTACTGCAAATTTTGAAATTTCTGACCCCTATGATTTTTTAGGCCTCGCTTTTTGGAGCCTGTTGCCCAAGGAAGGAACAAAAAATTTTGTTCGTGGCCGTGTTTTTGGAGCCTCGCTTTTTAAATTTTAGGGCCTCGCGTTTGTTATTTTTTTTTTTTTTGGTGGGGGGTTCGCCTTTGGGGGCCTTGGTCTCTGTGGGGCCCTGCATGCACTGTTTGGATCACACGCTGAAACAGGAACAAAAATACTGTTTGGGGCCGGCTCTTTGGGACCTCGACTTTTTAAATTTTTGGGCCCGACGTTTTCTGGGGGACCTTGGGTTCTTTGATCCACCGCGCTGAAACAAGCAACAAAAGACGTTTGGGACCCCGCTTTTTTGGGGCCTCGCGTTTTCTGGGGGATTTAGGCTCTTTGGGGCCCCGCACTGGCGCACTGTTTGGGCCTCGCGCTGAAACAGGGAACAAAAATTTCGGAGAAAAATAGAAGAGAGTAAGCGCGGGGCCCGCGGCATATGCCGCTTCTGCCATATAGTTTAATCCGGCACTGAGGAGTCGGCTTTGACCTATAGTCGTTTGTCACTCAAAAAAGTCGGATTTTTGCTTCGTCCTAACCAGGAAAAACCTGTTTAGACGAGGGCAATACGGCTTTTTACCGTGTAATCCGCTCTCAGATTTTGTTCTCACCTTATTTGGTAAAATCACGTCATTGTCATATAATAAAAATACGAACATACAGCTATTTCAATTAAGGTTGTCCCCCGAGCAAAGCGGAAAAGTCGAATACGAGCGCGAAAGGCTGCTGGGAATCGCTAATAAATTCATTAATTTATTAGCGATTCCCCCGCTTTGCTCGGGGGGACAACCTTAATTGAAATAGCTGTATATGCACATATACATATACGCGCGGGGACTTCTATATATGCCTCCATGGGTTTCGGCCCTCTGGGGTCAAAACCATGCGGGGGTAAAAACAAATACATTCGCAACGCATCTCTAAATAGTAAGATCAACTTAAAGGATTAGTGTCAAGGTCACGCATTGCGGGCTTTTATTATTGTTTACATTTTACGTAAATACAACAAATAGCGATAAAAATACCTTGTTTGGTACATTTCTGATAAAAATCACAAGTATTATAAAAGGATGGTTTAAATATATGACGGATTGTACACACTTTCCAGATCATCTAATCTATTCGTCCCGAAAAATGGCCGCCAGCATGAGTTTGAGCCCGCGAATTCCCGGTGTGATACGAATCCTTTAAATCAACTTAACTACCGAAAATCATTAGTATAAAATATGGAAATTCATTAAGCATTTATGTCACGATCTTGATCAAATATAACATTGATCAAAATAAAGTCTAATTGCATGTCGAAGATACATGCATTCAATTATAGTGGAAGCAATAACTATAATAAGTTGCCTTAAAACAGTTATTGGCAGTGGCGTAGCCAGCCCGACTATTTAGTCCCGCTATGGAAATTCAAAATTATTATCATTATTCATTTCTTTAGTTTTCACAGTCATTGAACACAAAAACATTTGCATATCGGGACTAAATCGTCGGGCTGGCTACGCCACTGGTTATTGGTAATATAATTCCAACATTTTCAGTATGTTTCGTGCAAATACATCCACACAAACGATCGTAAACTTACATAATATATAGAATCGCAGACCAAAGAAGCAGATAAACAGACCAAAGAGAGAGCCACATGATGCAAGAACAAGATTTGCAATTGACCCTAGAACAAAAATTATGCTAAAAGTTATAGAATTTGAGAAGCCTAAATGTGAAAGTTGCTAAAGAGCAGTAATTACTCAGTAAAGTATTAACGGTGGTTCCGATAAGCAGAGAAGATAGTGAAAAATAGGCTGTGGCAATGGGGTGGTTAAAAAGTCAAACAGATCAAGAGTGTTGGCCTCATAAACCTAGTTATCAGGGACCGTTTGTTAAAAGCTGGGTTAGTTAGGTTAACCCTAGGTTAATGTAAAATTCAAAGCAAACTTCCTGACAGCTTGTCTATAAATTTGGAAATATTTCTTCAGAGATCTTGTCTGGATCGATTGGAGTTTACTTCTCTGAAATTTCGAAATAAACAGACGTACAGAAAAATATAAACTAAAACAGCAGATTAAAGTGCATATGACATGAAATTTCTTATTTTCTTAAACGAAAGAACTCTTTAAGCTGTAGTGTAACTTATTTTTCAGTTTTTTGTTCTTATGGTTTGTTCCCGAGATATTTCAATTTGTTTGATATGTAAATGAGTGTGAATATGTCCGCTAATTTATGACGTCACGTTGGTTGCAAGCTCAACTTACACTGGTTATAAATCTATTAACTCTAAAAACTGTAGATATTTATTCACATAAACAAAGTCTGAGGCTCTCCACTCCTTCAAAATTGTAAATCCTGTTTCGCGGGTTATAAAGCCATGGTCCTCCAAATGTTTTGCTCAAAATTCTTCTTGTATGCTTCTATCTTTGTGATTGTAAAATTGGCCCGGTCAGAAACGTAGCCAAGGCAAAAAATGCGAAAAACTACCATCTGTAATACAAATCTATACAAAAGTGGGACCCCAGAATCGGGTGGCGGCCGGTGACTTCCGGCTTCACTTTTGTATACTATAGATGCGTTATCCAGTCCTATTTCAGATCAGTGTTCCTATTGGATAAATTCAATTGGATATAAGTAATGTTTATGCAAAGGCGGAGCCGACTTGACAAGAGCGAAAGTAGGCGTATTTCATTGTTTATATGTTGGCGGCGGGAATTCTACCTTTAATATAAACTATATAGCAACGACCCTGAAGTGTACGACTCTGAAGCAGATGCACTATCCAGTTTGAGCTCAGTGGATTACTATACCTAAAATAGCTACAGTACCTCACCATTATAAACCATTGATATTTGATTGCTCAAAATAACCAATTCTTTACCATACCTATCACATGCTCATTAGATTTCGATAAATTACAACCATGTTATTCCATTCAGTTTAAGAAAAACCTGAATTTTCTATCTATCAAAGTTACCTGTAGTAATTCCACAAAACATATGGAGGCTCCTGTTTTTCTCTGATCCACTATACTGTGAATAACATGACGTAGCCCCCCAAGAGCGACTTGTAACGGACTTGGACCGGAACAAACGCGACACAATAAATTCCTAATAAATTTACCTGCTCAAAACTGAACAGAAAATGAGAAGCACAATGTTCCGAATAGAGAACTAAACAAAACTAAAAAAGCGAATAAAACCAGATGAAAAACTAGACAAATTATTTCGGCACAATATCTGAGTCTAATATTGACACGTCCCTATTTCCCCATTCCTCGCGAGCTACGTCATGTCATTCGCACTATAATGCATAAAAAATCGGCACTTGCAAGGGGCATGTCTACAAAACAAAGTGATGCGCATTTTCTGTGAAGCCTATAGTTATGTACATTTATTGTGAAATGAAACATACCAAGTGAATCGCATCCATCGACTTTGGCAGTAAAACTACAACCGTATGTTACCACAGGTGAATAAACTGATTCAACGTTCGTTAATGGATCAAACACGAGAATATTAAATACCATCCCTTGACCTCGTTTTGTGTCAAATTCGATGGAAGGTGCATCTACTTGGGGATTCCAATCACGAATCTATACGACAAAATCAATGTAGTTTAAAATCATGTGCAGATCAAACAAATCATCTATTAATCCTATTATACGCACGTTTTGGGAGGGTTTATTAGAGAAGACGCCTTATGTAATACAAAGGGGAAAGCTAATAGACTTAGCAAAATACAGTGGCCTAAAAACCACTCATCTGAAAATTAGAACTGATAGCTAGAGTATCCTTTAGAATTCAATAAGCCAGGAGACTGGGTTGTGTGATACTGTATAATTGTTGATCTCAAACAGACGAATGCATAGTCTGAATTAATTTCAACATTATTGGATGTGATATTATATACACCAGAAAACATACAAAAACTTTTAAGTATAAGAAGGTACTGTAGGGGTGTGCTAACCATACTTACTTTCAGCTGAGAGCTAAGATCCGGATCGAGTCGAAGGCTTTCTGAGGGTGTCTACGGCAGCCATCTTATGAAAAAGCACAGTTAAGGTAGTGAAAGGGTCAGTTTGGGGCTTATTCCAATTCACCCAATTCGAGTACCGCGGAGACTATCGGACCCCACCCGGAACACCCCGGAACCTGCTAAAATAGTCAACGAAATTTTGCTCAAGTATTTGCACGTGTTTTCAACAAATTAGATACTATGACATTGATGAATACAATCAGATGAGTTATTTTGATGTTGTCACGTTTACAGCTTCAGATTGTTACTAATTGTTAAGGCGAAATGTATAAAACTACTTCTGTTTTCCTAATATTTATAACGCATCGGAAACGGAATGATGCAATAGATCGGGTCAGGATAATTCCTGCGTTTGCCAGTACGTGATATATTATTATTCGAGAAATATCAAATATGCTACGGCCAGAGAACTCAGCGAGATATATTGCAGCAGAAATCGTTGTACACATAATATATAATAAAGATGAGAAAATCTTGCCATCTTACTGTAAATCTCTATTTAAAACACGTAAAATTTTAAATATAAATGCATGCAGGGAAACCTCTGCCGAGGAGAGAGATAAGAGTATACCTTCTTTCCATTTTCTTTAACTTTAGCAGGCGTCAACATTTTCGAAATCCCATCAAATAACTCATCATTCTTCAGATTTCCCTCTTCCAAAAAATACTGGTAAATGGCGTATTGTAAGCGATAATGGTGTGGATTGGATTCTTGTTGGCCGCTGCAGTCTGAAGTATTGTAATCATAGACGTTTGCCAAAGGAAATGTCAAAGTGCTCTTGTAGTATTGTTTGCTTGTAATAATTAGATTCGGATCGATCGCCATAGTACATGTAAGACAGCATCCGCCTGGTATTGGAGCTGAAAGATAAATCATATTTAAAAACAGGTCCGAAAAGCGTACATGCGTCTGCATTGAAGGAAAACATGGAGAATGCATCATGTAGAAGCATGGTGATTTCATGTTACGACCAAGAGCAACAAATGTATTTTACAAATGTGTAAAAAATGTGTAAGCTCCTTATGAGGTTTTATGATTATGATTAAAATTATTCGGCTCATTTCTCATTGTGATATTACCTTCCTAACTATGTTTATCCCAACCCACCCTGTCAGCTTCCCCTGTGGGAGAAAACTGGAGCGCCGAAGAAAACCACGACTTTCGGCAGAGCGTTGACAGACTCTTTTCACATGAGTCCATACACGAGTCGATGGCGTGAATCAAACCCACGATCTCAAACGTGACCCACGTCCACGATCTCAGCGCTGTTATATAGTGGAATATTTGGAAGCGCGCAAATCTCTTCAGAGCTCCACCACTACTGTACTATTAATCCGGGACCATTAACCAACCAGATGCATTTTAAAATCTACCAATCTAGTATGATTTTGTGACCAAAACTAGACCAAAACCTGTGAGTCGTTTTTGGTCGCTCCTTGTCGTTTTGGTCGTAAGTGTCCTGTGCTAAGGTGCCCCTAACTGCTTTAAGTGCAATATTTGGATCATTCCATAAAAAAATAATATTTTTATACTGAAAATCCTAATCTTAAAGTTCTCAAAGTTTCCAGATATTATGTCATTAGATGAACTTTTGGAACAAAAAAGGAAACTAATTTGCAATTCATCTAATGATATCACATCCGACAACTTTGATCAAGAGGACGTTTTTACTATAAAAATAGATTACAATTTTTCTTAGAATGACCCAGATATTACATATACAAAAAGCATATTTGGGGATTATGTGGTAGATAAATTGACTTGACTGCAAATCAGAGGAGGAATGAGGGTCTTCCCGAAATGCAACGCGTAAATCAGTGCGGCTCATTATTATTCAAGATATTTATTCTCAACGCGTCGTTCGATTAAAAACTGTTGAAACATATTGCGATTTTTGCTGTGAAGATCTCGTTTTCTCAAAAGGTATGTTTTGATAGCTTTTTTGTTTAGTAATTTAATAAAAGAAGTTTTGAATAATTTTGTATATATATCGCATTTTACTTATGTTAAATTCCCATTGTATTTATACATGTTTTGGGTCAATGAACATGACCTTCAAAGTGGCATTGAAATATTCACGAGTAAATTGTACTTTTTTTACAAGGAAACTAAAATAAAATAAAATTACATGAGTCAATTCAGGAATGTTTACTCTTCATAATGATACTTTAAAACATGAATTTACTCCATAACACCGAAGAGCTATCACGGTTTGAAAATGAGCTATTTTTTTTGCTATTATAGAATATAGCAAAAATAGCTCATTTTCAAACCGCGATAACTCTTCGGTGTTATGGAGTAAATTCATGTTTTAAAGTATCATTATAAAGAGTAAACATTCCTGAATTCACTCATGTAATTTTATTTTAGTTTCCTTGTAAAAAAGTACAATTTACTCGTGAATATTTCAATGCCACTTTGAAGGTCATGTTCATTGACCCAAAACATGCATAAATACAAAGGGAATTTGACATAAGTAAAATGCGATATATATACAAAATTATTCAAAACTTCTTTTATTAAATTACTAAACAAAAAAGTTATCAAAACATACCTTTTGAGAAAACGAGATCTTCACAGCAAAAATCGCAATATATTTCAACAGTTAATAATCGAACGCGTTGAGAATAAATAACTTGAATAATAATGAGCCGCACTGATTTACGAGTTGCATTTCGGGAAGACCCTCATTCCTTCTCTGACTGTAAATTGACTGTACCTGTCTGTTGCCTCGAGCCTCAGACATACAATCAAGGTGACCACCCTCATACAATACATACCTTTTCCACTGGACGTTACAACAGCCACTAATGCCTCAACGTTGGTACCACTTGGAGGACTGAGAACGTAATCCAAAGTATGGAAAGCTTCCTTCATTTGGTGTATGAGAGTGGTGGTTGATCGCCAAGGATAAGAAACGATTCCTAAAATGGCTGTATCAGAGTTGGTGTTTGTCTCTCTGCCATAACGAGTTGAAAGTGATAGATTGCGGTACTGTGTATGTGCTTGGACGACCAGAAAGTTTAAAGTCGTTAACTTATATGAGTAACTAAGGATTATCTTTTTCTTTAGCGTTATAACCTTGGGTTCATCACCAACATGAATAATATCTGAAAAGATAAAGAGCTGGCATGAAATGCCTTAAGTGGAAAACATACTGTTTTCAGTTTAACAAAACGTTTTGTACTGTGTTTAGGGTCGTTCCAGAATAAAATCCCACACTTTGCCCATCCACGGGGCAAAGTGTGGGATCATCCCTTCGGACGTCCCAGTGTAAGAAAAATTAGAGAGTTTAAGATGCCGACAACGAACAACGAGTACGGTTGAGAGCTTTAACAGAGGCAGACAAAATTTACATATTCCCCAGAGCATACTTTTCACCGTAGGGACCATAGATATCTTACATACACTAGATAGTCATCTAATTATTCTGCAATTCAAAAACTGAAGCCGTGATTGCAGACTCAGGATATTGCCATGAAATGAGAAGACTCGTATGTTTTCTATTTCTTAAACAGGGAACTTAAACATTAAGTTAAATCTATTCCAAATACATTTTCAAACTATTCAAATGATGAAAGTTATTGTTGTTTTTTAAGCGTTTATTAGCGAGTGGGAAACTCCAACATGGCCGCCATCTATTCAAATGGGGGTAACCGCTGGAATATTCTTGGCTTCAATTTTACTAAAAGAGATGCGCTTTCTAGTGTATATAAGATATCTATGGTAGGGACCATAGATAGAGGAGATCTAGATTGCTAACGCATATCTAGCGCAGGCGGGGCCTACATGATAAATCCAAGATGGCGGTACAACAGGGCAAAAAGACTATACATTCTGAATTTTTCTGTGTTGGTGTTGTGTACTCAGGTGAATAATATGTTTGCGATGTTACTCTGAGTGCATATCCACACCGGGCGAGCTTGAAAAATATGCCCGGCCACGGTGGGATTCGAACCTACGACCTTTGGAATACTAGCCCAATGCTCTTCCAACTGAGCTACGCGGTCAGGACGGTTCGAGTAAGTGATATTTCGGAACAGTATCTAGTTCCTTCAATACCAATGTGTTCTAGTAATATGAATTTTTCTGTGGTGGTGTTGTGTACTCAGGTGAATAATATGTTTGCGATGTTACTCTGAGTGCATATCCACACCGGACGAGCTTGAAAAATATGCCCAGCCACGGTGGGATTCGAACCTACGACCTTTGGAATACTAGCCCAATGCTCTTCCAACTGAGCTACGCGGTCAGGACGGTTCGAGTAAGTGATATTTTGGAACAGCATCTAGTTCCTTCAATACCAATGTGTTCTAGTAATATGAATTTTTCTGTGGTGGTGTTGTGTACTCAGGTGAACATTGGGCTAGTATTGCATAAGAGCAATGGGCTAGTATTCCAAAGGTCGTAGGTTCGAATCCCACCGTGGCCGGGCATATTTTTCAAGCTCGCCCGGTGTGGATATGCACTCAGAGTAACATCGCAAACATATTATTCACCTGGTACACAACACCACCACAGAAAAATTCATATTACTAGAACACATTGTTATTGAAGGAACTAGATTCTGTTCCGAAATATCACTTACTCGAACCGTCCTGACCGCGTAGCTCAGTTGGAAGAGCGTTGGGCTAGTATTCCAAAGGTCGTAGGTTCGAATCCCACCGTGGCCGGGCATATTTTTCAAGCTCGCCCGGTGTGGATATGCACTCAGAGTAACATCGCAAACACATTATTCACCTGAGTACACAACACCACCACAGAAAAATTCATATTACTAGAACACATTGGTATTGAAGGAACTAGATGCTGTTCCGAAATATCACTTACTCGAACCGTCCTGACCGCGTAGCTCAGTTGGAAGAGCGTTGGGCTAGTATTCCAAAGGTCGTAGGTTCGAATCCCACCGTGGCCGGGCATATTTTTCAAGCTCGCCCGGTGTGGATATGCACTCAGAGTAACATCGCAAACATATTATTCACCTGAGTACACAACACCACCACAGAAAAATACATATATATTGTTAAGATGCCCGATTCAGATCATAAGAAAGATTATCAAGAATACTTGAAGGAAAAAACTTTTAATGCAGTTTTAATATATTTTCAAATTTTTTATCAAATATGCGGTCGTCATGTACGTTGCTATGTGTTGCCAGTCATTATTTAGCGACGCTTGGGTGCATGTATATATTAAAGTACAAAATATTTGTCCACTAATTAGGCTGGGGGGTAAGGCAAATTGCGCGGGCGGGTGGGTAAGTGCGTGCTTTGCAGTTGTACAAAATTCCAGTTTTAAAATGCATTTATTTCTTCAACACGTTCTAGAAAATTTAGTACGGTCTACTTCTAAGTAGAGTGCTTTTTATTTTTAATGAGTTCTCGTATTCTTGTCTATCTTCTGGAGAGAACTTTGCTACTTGCTTGGGTTTCATAGGAATATTTTTTGGTATGTCGCAATAAACATGTTTTAAACTTTGCAAATGTTGTGTCATCATGTCTTGCCATAAATCCTTAGGCGACAAGGGGATGATTAAAGTATTAGGCGAACAAAACTTTACAAACTATGTGTATCCCAATGGATAGATAGGGATTATTTAATACGCAGGTGTATGCCTTAAAATCAGGCGCGAGGCTTTGCGGGTATAAATATTAGGCAAAAATTCAGTTTGCAGCATAATTGTAAAGTAAGCTAATTGTAACGTAGATAAATTCGAAGTAGAGGCTGTGTTGGAATGTTCTAGCTACATGGTGGAATAATAACCTCTCGCAATATTGATTTGTTCAACACAACTTAGGCTCGGAGCTGGCCGCACGGCTCGGAGCCGAGATATGATTGCATGGAATCCATATCTTTATCTTTATCTTCCTTATCTTTACCTTCCTTATCTTCCTTATCTTATCTTCTTATATTCCTTATTTTTATCTTCCTTATCTTTATCTCCTTATCTTCCTTATTTTTATCTTCTTTTCTTCCTTATCCTTTTCTTTATCTTTTTATCTTCCTTATCCTTATCTTCTTATCTTCCATATTTTGATCTTCTTGTCTTCCTTATCCTTTTCTTTATCTTTTTATCTTCCTTATTTTTATCTTCTTATCTTCCTTATGCTTATTCTTATCCTCATCTTTATCTTCTTATTTTTCTTACCCTTACCATTATCTTTACCTTCTTATCTTCCATATTTTTATCTTCTTATATTCCTTATCTTTATCGTCTTAGCTTCCTTATCCTTATCTTTATCTTCTTATCTTCCTTATCCTTATCTTCATCTTTTTATCTTCCTTATCCTTATCTTTATCTTCTTATCTTCCGTAATTTTATCTTCCTTATCCTTATCGTTATCGTTATATTTATCTTCTTATCTTCCTTATCCTTATCTTTTTCTTCTTATCTTCCTTATCTTTATCTTCGTAACTTCCTTATCCTTATCTTTGTCTTCTTATCTTCCTTATACTCATCTTTTTCTTCCTATCATTCATATCCTTATCTTTATCTTCTTATCGTGGCTCGACATCGAGCTATTCGAGCTCTGCTCCGAGCCATTCGAGCTCGACACCGAGCCATTCGAGCTCGACACCGAGCCATTCGAGCTCGGCTTCGAGCCGTTAGGGCTTGGTTCGGAACCATGATAAGAAAAAAAGATGAGGATAAGGAAGATAAGAAGATAAATAAAAGGAAGATAAAAAGATAAAGATAAGGATAATGAAGATAAGAAGATAAATATAAGGAATATAAGAAGATAAAGATGCGGATAAGGAAGATAAGAAGATAAGGAAGATAAGAAGATAAAGATAAGGATAAGGAAGATAAGAAGATAACGATAAGGATAAGAATAAGGAAGATAAGAAGATAAAGATAAGGAAGATAAGAAGATAAAGATAAGGATAAGGAAGATAAGAAGATAAGAAGATAAGAAGATAATGATAAGGAAGATAAGAAGATAAAGATAAGGATAAGGAAGATAAGAAGTTAAAGATAAGGATAAGGAAGATAAGAAGATACAGATAAGGATAAGGAAGGTAAGAAGATAAAAATAAGGGAGATAAGAGGATAAAGATAAGGACGATAAAAAGATAAAGATAAGGAAGATACGAAGATAAAGATAAGGAAGATAAGGAAGGTAAAGTTAAGGAAGATAAAGATAAAGATAAGGATTCCGAGCCTTTCGATCTCGGCTCCGAACCATTCGATCTCGGCTCAGAACCATTCGATCTCGGCTCCAGACTGTTGGACCAGCTCTGAGCCTAAGTTGTGTTGAACAAATCAATAAAGCGAGAGGATATTATTCCACCATGTAGAACATTCTAACACACCCTCTACTTCGAATTTATGTACGTTACAATTCGCTAACTTTACAATTACGCTGCAAACTGAATTTGTGCCTTATATTTATACCTGCAAAGTCTCGCGCCTGATTTTAAGGCATACACCTGCGTAATAAATAATCCATATCTATCAATTGGGATACACATAGTTATGTAAATTTTTTTTCGCCTATTCTTTAATCATCTCCTTGTCGCCTAAGGACTTAGAAACGCATAATGACACAACATTTGCGAAGTTTAAACATGTTTATTGTGACATACCAAAATATATTGCTATGAAACCCAAGCAAGTAACGAAGTTATCTCCAGAAGATACCTTATTATAGGAAATTAACGATGCACTTTATTAACGCCACATACATTAACGCGACATCAAATTAACGCGGATTGCTTCTAGATATTTCAAAACATGATTATATTAACATGGCTTCTAGAGCTGAGCTTGGAAAACTCCCTCTTATTATCAATGTATTCAAAAGGGTCTTCAAATACATCACTCACTTAAACTCACTTCCCGAAACAGCCATTGCAAAGCAAGCATTTCGAATCTCGAATGATCTCTACTCTAGGCAGAAAACTTCGTTTTACGGAAATGCAATGGATACAATAAAAAATTTAAACCTAAATGAAGAAATCCCTAATCTGGAAGCCGTAGCGTCTGAACATATTGAAGCTATTACCAAAACCCTTGAGGAAAAATACTTGGCATTCTGGAAACATAAACTTGAAAATTCATCCAAATTAACTTTCTATTCAACATTCAAAACGGACCACAACCTCGAAAAATACTTAATACTTATAAAAGACCCATACAAGAGAAAATGTCTTTCACGTTTTAGAGTTAGCAGCCATAACCTCCAAATTGAGATCGGGCGATACCTAAATACACCCCGAGAAGAACGCTTATGTGAAATCTGTAATTCAGGAGAGGTGGAAAACGAAACCCATTTCCTACTCTTTTGCAAAGCCTATGAGCATTCTCGCGAAGACCTCCGACGTTCTTTAGAGAATTTCTCATCTAACGAGATTAAACTGAACTCTCAAACTCTATCAGCTGACTTAATGAAGTCAACTGATAGTGAAATCATAACTAAACTGTCAAAATTTGTTTATTCATGTTTTGAACAAAGGCTTAAATACCTTGAAACCAGGAGTGCTAGTTAGCATACGTTGTAATAACCACCTGATTTGTAAATATTATACTTGTCTACATTCTTTCTTCGTATTCTTATTAACGTTAATGTTATGTTAGTCTATTAAGTATTATTGCACAGTCATATACTAATTTGTAAATTGTATAATCCTAGTTTACCATAGTTCTCTATATATTGTTATAAATTGTTATAACTTTTATACGCTTTAGCAATACTGTACATTTATAGTCATGCTAATAAAGCTATTATTTACCTTACCCTGAACCCGGAGTGAAAACATGAGCCTGTGTCTTGTGTAGAATATTATAGCGTAAGAGCGAAAGGTGTGTATATGAACATAATAATGAAATAAAATCTTCAGTGTATATATATTCGGACACTATTATTGGAAGAGGTTTTTGTGGTATTTAGGTCAGTGCACACGTAGTGACCACCAGGCTTTTAGCCAGAAGGGCGTCCAGGCGTGCTGGGACGCTCCCAGAACAAAAAATGGAGGCCTTTGGACGCCCAAATTCTGGGGAATAAGGGAAATTATTTTCAAATTATTTCCATAATTATATAAACATATCTGAAACAAAATAGCTTCAATTCTCATTATTATTATACATTTGACCAATTTTGATCAATTTGATGGTTTACCTTGCTGAATGAAAATGTCGTAGTTAAGTAAAGAAGCATAGCGGTACAATACCGCACAAACTCAGTAATCACAAAGCCAAGTGTGTCTGAAAATTTTCGAAAAAGCTTGGAACAGTTACTGATATGAAGTGCCGTAAACTTCAAAGGTTTTCCAGAGGAATGTTTTATCGAACCTCCCGCTTTACTGTAGATGTATCGTTGTACCAAAATTGGACGCCCTCTTTTACGACTCTGGCTAAAAGCCTAGTGACCACAATGCTTACTAAGGTGTTTTAGTTCGATTTGTTTAACTCTAAAGAAGGCTTACCTGGGTCATTGAATGGTACTAAAACGTAACGAAAGTCTTTTTCATTACCAGCAGCAGCATGTTCAATAAACTGGACAGTTGCTTGTTGCACACCCGCTATTTCCTCTGGGAGAAAAAAAAAATATTGCAATGTTTTGGGAACCAATAACAAAAATATGTGCATTGTAAATAACATTTGCATTAATATTTGCAAACATATATGACCATTTATGACGAACCGCTTTACCGTCTGTTTGATGCATTGTTTCATTGGCTTACTGTCTACTGCAGTGATGATTAATACCACTTGTCTCCGATGAATTATGGTATTTACCGTGCCAGGCAGCGTTAGACAATACAGAATAAAAAACATTCCGAACTGAACATCTTTAGGGAGACCAGAACGTGTAACAACTAATTAAGAATTCTTCTCGTCTAACGAGATCGCTGTAATTAGTTACAGGGACACAGTGTCAGCAACTACTGTACAGCTTCGGGTGACCTTTTTTTCAATCTCCGTTCCCATTCTTTGTGGAATCGTCCTATACTAATCTATATACAAAGTACTTTGGTTGCTTGAAGCGCCCAAAGACTTTCGCGTTGGTTGCCTTGAAATGTACACAGTGTTGGTTGAAATTACTCATTCACAGCATAAATTTCGCCGATAATAAAGAGGCTCCCAGCAGTGGCATGCGGAATGTTCGCGGGAATAGTACGTGGACTATTCCACGCAACCGCACGATAAAAAAAAAAAAAACACTGACTGGGATTTTAAAAATAAGATATTTTTGAAAGGTTTATAATGAAAAAAAAAGCGCTGAATAATCCTTCGTTTTGAATGAAAAATCATACGGTACGAATATCACTAGACCAAAAACCGAGCTACGAATCAATGTTTTCTACATTTTTCTTTAAACATACACTGTTAACCGTAAAGCATTTGCTAAATTGTACACAAACTTTTAGTAAACCTTTAAAATGTCATTTCGAAATACTTTCGTGTTTCGATAAGATTTGAAGTTTAAAGTTTGTTCGTTCACGGCAACCAAGTATATCAATCATGTTTCGCTCGCTACTATGGTTTAAATAAATGATTACAAAGCCCAGTCGAATTGTAATCAAGATCCAACGTTTCGACACTCCAGTCTAGTGCAGTCTTCATCAGGGGTGATCTAAAATTGCAATCGTGGCTTCTTAAATACCCAAGGGATGACGTCACCTGCCAATGAGATGCATATATTCCTCTGGCAAATAGGCACCGTCATCCCTATTCAAAGCATGATTACTCATATTTATATGCCACGCTTCTAGGCAAAGAAAACTCTTGCTGTATTTTCTACACCATGCGGTGACTGTGAGAAAGAGTATTTGTGTCAGTCTAAACGCCAGTTTGGTACACGGTTAAAAGAACATCAAAAGGCTGTTTCAACTTTAGATAAGGGGAAATCAGCTTTAGCCGAACATGTATGTTACACCAAACACGAGATTGGTGGGAAAACTCTAAAGTAATTACCACAAACAATCACTATGGTCAAATACTTTTCCTAGAAGCGTGGCATACAAATATAAGTAATCATGCTTTGAATAGGGATGACGGTGCCTATTTGCCAGAGGAATATATGCATCTCATTGGCAGGTGACGTCATCCCTTTGGTATTTAAGAGGGCCTCTCAGTAAAATCCACTCACTGGTTTGGGGAAGGGAAAATAGATTTAGCTCATATTTTGCAAATGAACTAGACTTTGGTCAATATTAATCGAGCTTCTTTCAGAACGTTTCAACTTTCTGTTTTATAGGAGTTATAGCCATTTTAAAATTTGACCTTGCGAGAGTATTTTCAGACCGGAAATGAAGGGGAATTTTACAAGAATTCATCTGATTTTTTAAAAACGTTGTGATGCGTTTATCCCCTCCAGTTACTGTTCACATGCAAGATTAACACTAATACTCTCGTTTACATGCAGATTGAATAACTTTATTAGCTTAATATGATTTTTTTATAGTTTTACGAAACTATGTTTTCAAGATGGCGACAAGCGGCTGAAAATTGCTCATATTTTACTTAAAATAGCTCAAAAGTGGCACCTATCTGAAGTTCAAAAGGCATGTAATTTGAAAGTATACCTACTAAAGTTAAGTAATCAGGAATAAAAATCGTCTGCAAGCAATTTCCTGAAAAGTTATAAATCTCCAAATTGGGTCTATTTTTAGCTGTTTGTTTACATTCGCGTGTTCGCTGATCAGCGATACTAGTAATAATTAAAAAGTTAAATAAGCTGGTTTATTATCCAGGTTCTAATTCACAACATAAAAACATTAAAAATACAACCTTAACCATTCTTGGCTTATTCGCATGAATAATTTCACAACTGTTAAATATCTTTTTGAGGTATAATCGGGCAGTACTTTCTGTGGTTGTAGCAAATTTCAAAGCTGTCCGTATCTGGCTGTATATAAAAAGTGTTCGGTGCTTTAACTTTTTTATTCAACTCGTCTCGTAATCTTTTTCTGTCCCTGTAAATGGAAATTTTGCCGGAAAGGTCGGACATTAATTCTTGCAGCATGGATGCAACATATTTTTGTACATAATTGCAGTCAAAATACTACAACCTTCCCACTTCCGCTTTTGTAGTCTGTTGTCATTTACTATTTTGTTTTGACTTTTGCATTATTGTAGCGGTTGCCGAATTATGGAGAAATATGACGATAAAATCTAGTTGTTTTTTTATTTTTGTAATATTTTAAATAATTGTAACAAAGGATGCATTTTTCGTTTGATTCACTGCATATGAACACATATAAAAGTTTTGAAATTTAACTTATGTCGTCGTATTTCCCTATAATTTTTTAACCGCTACAATAACAGAAATACTGCAGTAAGAGACAGAGATTTTCAAAATAATAATTTTTAAAAAGTTTTAAAAGAGTTTTAAAAAGCAAAAAAGTTTAAAAAGTTAGATTTTTAAAAAAGTAAAAAAAAATTAAAACGGTTAAAAAAGTTAGGGTTAGGAGTTAGGGATTACTGGTTAGGAGTTAGGGGATTAGTAGTTAGGGGTTAGTGCCGCGAATTTATTATTATGATAAATTCAAAATGTGCTGCGCAGGGATGCCGGAAGTTGCTGAGGGCAAGGGGTGCAATTGGTTAACAAGAGGGCATA